CTATCTATCTATCTATCTATCTATCTATCTATCTATCTATCTATCTAGTATCTCTCATCCATCTGTTTGTCTGTCTATCTATTGTCTATCTATCATCTATCTATCTATCTATCTATCTATCTATCTATCTATCTATCTATCTATCTATCTATCTATCCATCCATCCATCCATCCATCCATCCATCCATCCATCCATCACCACCTTTATTATTTTTACAAATAAGGCAGTAAACATATCTCACACATCTTCGCCCACCTATTTTCCCCACAACAACCAACCTGTGAGGTGGATTGGGCTGACAGTCACTGACCCAAAGTCACCCAGGCAGCTTTTATGCCTAAAACGCGACTAGAACTCACCATCTCCTGGTGATTGGCTCAAAGTCACCCAGGCAGCTTTCATGCCTAAGGCAGAACTAGAACTCACAGTCTCCTGGTGATTGGTCCAAAGTCATGCAGCTGGCTTTCAAACCTAAGACGGAACTAGATCTCACCGTCTCTTGACTTTCTAGCCTTGTTCCTTAGCCCCTAGACCAAACTAGCTCCCTTGTAGATGTACATCTAATGCCATTAGCAAGGAAAAGTTTGCAATAGCAGCAGAAGCAATGCGTGGAGGGTTACAAGGGACTCAGCTACCCAGGCACTAGCCAGCAATCCTATTTTCCAACAACTGGCCATGATGGAACTCCTCAAATAAATTCAACATGGAATGGAAGTGCCGTAGAAGACGTTGACATGTTCTCCTTTTCCATTGGCCATTTAAAAAAAGGACTTCATTTTAATTTCAGTTCTTATCTTGGGAAATATTGTTTTTTTTGTAATGCTTTGCAGGTGATTTCTCCCAAGGGCATGGTCCTGCACCTATTTTTTCTTTTTCTTTTGCAATCTTGTCCGTTAAGTCCTCCAAAGCTGTTGGACATTTTATTTTAAATGGGCCATGAGCATGGCTACAAATAGCAGACTTATGGCTACCCTGACGAAAGCATTGGGATTTTGAAATGGTCTAATACAGTGGGGCCCTCCAGCCTTGTCCACTTTAAGACATGTGGACTTCTCCCAGAATTCACCCAGCCAGGTCATCTAGTCCAACCCCCCCCACCCAAGCGGGAAACCTACACCATGTCTGACAGATGGGAGTCCAATCTCTCCTAGTAAGTCTCCAGGGATGAAGCTCCCACAACTTCCGAGGGCAACTTCTGTTCCATGGGTTGATTGTTCTCACTGTCAGAAAGTTTCTCCTTATTTCCAGGTTGAATCTCTCCTTGTTCAGCTTCCATCCATTGTTCCTTGTCTGGCCTTTGGGTGCTTTAGAAAATAGCTTGAACCCCTTCCTCCTCTCTGTGGCAGCCCCTCAAATATTGGAAGATTGCTCTCCTGTCTCCCCTGGTCCTTCTCTTTACTAGACTAGCCAGGCCCAGTTCCTGCAACCGTTCGTTGTATGTTTTAGCCTCCAGTCCCCTAATCATCCTGGTTGCTCTTCTCTGCACTTTTTCTAGAGTCTCAACATCTTTTTTATAGTGTGGTGACCAAAACTGGATGCAGTACTCTAGGTGTGGCCTTACTAAGGCTTTATAGAGTAGTATTAGTACCTCCCTTGATCTGGATTGTATCCCTCTGTTAATGCAACTTAGGATTGCATTGGCTTTTTTGGCAGCTGCTGCACACGGCTGGCTCCTATTTAGCTGGTTGTCCACTAAGACTTCAAGATCCCTCTGACAGTTCCTGCTATTGAGCCTGGTTTCACCCAGTCTATATGGGTCCTTTGGGTTTTTCTTGCCAAAGTGTAGGACTTTACTTTTCTCTACATTGAATTTCATTTTGTTAGATAGGGGCCAGTGTTCAAGTCTATCAAGATCCATCTGGGTCTTGACCCTATCTTCTTGAGCCTATCTACCCTCCTGGGGTTTTGCGATATATGTATGTGTATGTCTATGTCTATGTCTGTGTCTGTGTCTGTGTCTGTGTGTGTGTGTGTGTGTGTGTATGTGTGTTTGTAGATTTTCACGGGTACAGGTGTTGGCCTGTTTGGGTTTTTTCCCATGTAAGATTGAGAGCACGTTGCCAAGATGCTCTCAATCTTACACGGGAAAAGACCCGAACACGCCAAGACCTGCATATATATATATATCTGTGCGTCCCTACATGCCAATGCAACTTCAGAGCCATTTAAAAAATTTTCACGTGGTCACCTTGGGAAAATTAATTGCCCGCCCCCCTGATATAATAAGAATAAAATAATTTGGTGTATTGCTACTGTACCTGAAAAACGTGACAAAGAACTGCACCAGATCCATAAAGTTACTGTGCTGTGAAAATGCAATCTGTAAAAAAAGAAAAACCAACATTAACTATTGTGATTGCAATTATAATTCTGGCTGATGCCAACCCTTAAATCTTTGCTCAGAGATTTTAATAATCAACGGTTTTGCATTAAGTCCCAAACAAGCTTATAACACATAAACCAGCCCACTTCCTCCAAATTGTCACAGAATAGCAGCACTCTAGACACCTATGGAAATAAATGGAAATACGCTCTTAAACACGACGTGCTGAAAAATCTGGCCCCTAATAACATAACATAAATATAACATAATCACAACACAACACAACATAAAACATAACATTAACATAACATTCAATGAATAACATACTTTATCCTCACCCTGCTGATTTTTTTATACATAATCACGGTGGCAAAAATGCCTAATACAGGTAGTCTTTGACTTACAACTGTTCATTTAGTGACGGTTCAAAGTTACAACGGCACTGAAAAAAGGACCATTTTTCACACTTACGACCGTGGCAGCATCCTCCTGGTCACCTGATCAAAATTCAGCCACTTGGCAACTGACTCGTATTTATGATGGATCCAGTCACAACTGAGTCAAGGGGGAAGCCAGAGGTTTTAACGGTCCTAAGTATAAAAAACGATCCCAAGTTTCTTTCTTCAGCGTCACTGTACATTCAAACGGTCACTAAATGAACATGTTGTAAGTTGAGGCCCACCCTGCAACCTTCAAGTGCACCTCCATTATTTCCCATTATTCAAGAGCGGGCTGTTGACTTTGTGTTGTTCTAAAGCCATATTTCACTACTCAACATTTCATTCCTCTATTGTCAAGACCGATTAATCCCCACAGCAACTAAAAAGACATAAATATCATCCACACGGGTCATTATTTTAAACACACATGCACACACACACACACACACACACGAAAATACAATCAATGGAAGACAACCATTGTTTAAAAGAGGCGCAAACCGAAAAGAAGGATGAAAGGGAAACGTAAACATGTCATGGAGATAAAAACCTTAAGGACAGCAGCAGAAATAAAAGAGGATTAAAAGGTCCTTGGGAATTAAAAAAAGAAAGAAAGAAAGAAAGGCTTTCTCTGCTGCCAATCTTGCTGCTTTGGGTAAACTCAGCTCTCCCTGCAGGACTGCGGCTTTATTTATTTAAAATACTTTTAGATCGTGCGCCGACAGTTGGATCTCGTAGATCACGTATGTATGTGCTGTAAACACACATTTTTTTTAAAAAAAAAAAAGTAGCACTAAGAGCAAGGCCAGCTGGGATGAAAGATAGGATTGCACGGTCCCTGGGAATGGTCCACCAGCCATCTTGGCATCGGAAGGCAGCCAGCGTGCCGTGGATTATGGAGCCTGCCTTCCTCTCTTGCAGGCTTTCGCCGTCTCCTTGCAAGAGGAGGGCAGGGCGAGACCCTCTTTGGTACCTACTAACGGAGCCAACAGGGCAACCAAGAGGAATGCCCAGCTGCCAGTGTTAGCTAGGGAGGCCAAAATGGATTTCTCGGGCTCTCTTCGAGATGTTTCCAACAAAATGAAGATCTTCAACCTTGTTCCGTTTCCAGCTGATGTCGTTTTTCATACATACCATATTATATATCCTCTAATCGTCTCTCTCACAACCCATCTACCTATCCAACTATCACCTTTCTCTCTGTCTGTCCATCATCTATCTCCATTGTCTGTCTGTCTACCCCTTCCTTCCTCTTTATATCTATCCATCTGTCCATTCATTTATCCACCAAATAATCCCCATCCATATCTATCTATCTATCTATCTATCTATCTATCTATCTATCTATCTAT